GGCACAATAGTACTCCCATCACAATCATATACCACAACTTATTCAACTATTCCCCAATTGATGAGCATCCCCTTAATTTCTAAATCTTTGCCACCAGAAAAAGAGCTGCTATAAATATTTGTGTACATATAGGTCATTTTCCTTTTTCTTTGATCTCTTTGGTGTACAGACCTACTAGTGGTATTGCTGGGTCAAAGGGTATGCACAGCTTTATAGCCCTTTGGGCCTAGTTCCAAATTGTTCTCCAGAATGATTAGACTAGTTATGTATGTCTCCTTCAGTTCCAAATGTGTTTCTTGTAAATAACATTGTTGGATTTTGGTTTTAATCCATTCTACTATTCTCATCTGATTTATGGGTAAGTTCATCCCATTTATATTCACTGTTATGTGATTGTTAACTGTGTTTCTCTACATACTGTTCTTTTTTTACTTATCTATCTTTTTTTCCCCAGTCCCCCTCTTTAAGAGTCTGTTTTTATTCTGACTCATTTCTCCTTTAATCTGGTCTCCCTCTTATTCTCTTCTTTCCCCTTAGCCCTATTTTTCCTGTTTGCCTGTTGGGTAAGATGTGTTTCTATATCCATGTGTATATGTTTTCTTCCTTCTTTTAACTAGTTTTTATGCAAGTGAGGTTCAAGTATCATCTGTTCCCCCTGTCATTACCCCTCTCCTTGTTGCATAAACTCCTTTTTGCGCACACTATTTATGTGAGATAATTTTTCTATTCTTACTCTCTCCTCCTTCCTCTCCCAGTGCATTTCTCTTCCCCACTCATTCCATTTCTTTCTTTCTTTCTTTTTTTTGTCAGATCATCCAAATACAACATCCAGGTCTTCTGTCTAATTACATACCCTCAGTGACCTCTGGTGTTGATAAAGTTCTGAGAGGCTGTATATATCATCTCCCCACATAAGAATGTAAACAGTTTAACCTTATTTAGTCCCTTTTGATTTCTCTTGTGTTTCTTTTGACTCCTTTGTGTGTCATGTTTTCTACTCAGCTCTGGCCTTTTCATCAGAAATGTTGGAAGAGCTCTGTTTTGTTAATGTTCCATTTTTTTCCCCTGTAGGATCATACCGTTTGGAGGGTAGGTTATTCTTGGTTGTAAGTCTAGATCCTTTGCCTTCTAGAATCTCATTCCAAGCTCTCCACTTACTTATTGCAGTGAATGCTAAATCTTGTGTGATTCTGACTGTTTCTATGGAACTTGAATACTTTCTAGCTACTTTCAGTAATTTCTTCTTGAACTCTGGATTTTGGCTATAACATTCCTGGGAATTTTCTTTTGGGGATCTCTTTTAGGAGGTGACTGGTGGATTCTTTCAATTTCTGTTTTTCCCTCTAGTGCTGAGATATCTGGACAGTTTTATGGTTTCTTGAAATATTATTTCTAGACTCTTTTTTTGTTTATGACTTTTAAGTAGTCCAGTGATTATAAAATTATCTCTCCTCAATCTATCTTCCATGTCAGTTGTTTTTCTTATGAGATATTTCACATTTTCTTCTATTTTTTTTTTCAGTCTTTTGACTTTGCTTCGTTATTTCTCAGTGCTTCATGGAATCATTAGCTTCCATTTGGCCACTTCTAGTTTTCAAAGAGTTTTCCTTGGTAAGGTTTTGTACTTCTATTTCCAAGCTATTAGCTCTCTTTTCATATCTTTCCTCCTTAGCCCTTATGTCTTTTCTCCATTATTTTCTCCACTGCTCTCACTTGATTTTTAAAATCATCATTTAGTTCCTTCTTTAACTCTTCTAGGAATTCATGTTGGACTTATGTCCAAGCTGCATTTGTAGATTTTTTTAATTGTTTTTATTCCCTTCTTTGTTTATGTCTTGAGCTTCTCTTTGCCATAATAGCTCTTTATGGTCTTATTCTTTTTTTGATTGCTCATTTATCAAGCCTACATCTTGACTTTGGACTTTATGTTACTGCTGGGCTTTGTACAGTTCTGGGTGTAGGAGGGTGTCTGTCCTGAGCTTCTGTCTTCTTATAAACTTTTTCTGCTTTCAAAGCTCTGTCTGGAGACCTACAAGCTTTTGATACTTCCAAAGTGGTATTTTCTGGGGAAAGGTCTGTTTACTGCCCTCTTGGTCTGAGTTCTGCCGGTACCTGACCCAGGTTTGAATCTATCAGCTTGTTTCTGGTTGGGAATTTCAGCTGATTGCTTTTTGACTCAGCCACTATTGTCCTGGGGTAGTCTTTGCCGATCCAGAGTGACTGAACTACCATCCCCTCTTTGCTCTGGGATGCTGTGTCCCACTCTTGGGTTCAGAGACACACAGCTACCATGTGCCTCTAGGTACTTGTTCTGTGGTCAATCACAGACAGGGCCAGCACTCACAGTTATTCCTTTCTGCCCTGGATCTGTGACCTAGCACTGTGTGGTAGACAACAGAGCTTGCTCAAGGATTCCGTAACATCCCTTTTGGGTACCTTCTCTCAGTCCCTGGACACTGGAATGCTCTCTACCCTCACTGTTGACACCTTCCCCAGTACCTAAAGACCTTTCTATCTCCCCAACCCACTCAGGGCTGGAAAAATGATTCACTGTGGTTTCTTATTGGCTTTCCTGATGAGAATTCAGTCTGGCACCTTCCCTAATTCTTTGTCAAAGAAGTATGGGGAGAGAACTAGACTCTTATGCTTCCTCTCTCTTTCTCTACCAACTTGACTCTGCCCCTCAGTCAAAGTTTCATGGAGGTTTTTTGCTTATGCTTTCTTTGAATGATAATAGTGATAGCTTATATTTATATTGCAGTTTAAAGTTTTTACAAAGTATTTTATATACACTACTGTAATCTCATTTGATACTAACAAGTAGGGAAACTAAGATTGTCAGCTGACTAAGACTTTCTAAGTGACTTGCCAATGGTCACACAGCTAGTGCATCCAAGTATATCACTCTTTCTGCTGTGTTATATACATCCTCTGAAAGAAAGAGAATTTGAATAGGCTGTTATGTCAGGAAAAACTTTTCTATGTATAAGATATAAGGCAAGGAGACGGGAGTGGGCAGGAAGAGATTCATGGAATGACAAGTAGTCCAGTTGGGCTGGAACATAGTCTGTGTGAAGGAACATAATACACAGTAAAGGCTGGAAATGTAGATTGGATTCAAACTGTGGACGATTTTGAGTACTAGGCTAATTATATTTTATGTGATTAGCACTGAAGAGCCACTGAAGGTTTTTACCAGGAGAATAAAGCGATCACACCGTTTAAAAGAAAGGTAATTTTGGTGTGGTATGAAAAGATAGATCAGAAGAGCAAGATACTGGAGGCAAGCATACCAATCATGAGGTTATATTGGAAAGGCAAAAAGAGTCTCAATTAGTGTGATGGTAGTAGAAGTGGGAATTAATTTGAGGGAAAGAGGCTGCAGAGATAGTAACTCTGTGTGTGTGGAGTGTGTGTGTGTGTGTGTGTGTGTGTGTGTACTACTTAAACAGACTATACACTTTTGAAAGCACAGTATTTTTATTTCTCTATCGTCCCAAACAATTCACTCAAATGCTTATGGATTAATTGATTTCTTTTATTTTTAACCATTGGAGAGAGAAGAGTTAACATAGTCCTACTTGTTATAAGAACTGACATTTAAATAGAACTTTTTAAGGTTTGCAGAGTGCTTTAAAGGCACTATCACATTTGATCTGATTGGAGTTGATCTTCATAACAATTCTGTGGGGTAGACATTAAATATTATGAGGCTTACAAAGGTTGTGACTTTTTCAAGATCATGCAGCTAATAAATTTCTAATGTAGAATTCGAACCCAACTCTCCTTAACTCCAAGTCCAGCATTATATCTGTTAAACCACATTACAGCTCAATTGTCCAGTGTTAGCACTACATTGGTATCTTTCCTTCAAAATTCAGAATAGGGAAAACCTTTGTTTCTTCAACCTTTTAATATGGTAACCCACTTGAGATTAGATCTCTTTCACCTATGTATAGGTGTCAGCATTTTATTAGAGATTTACAAACATGATTCCTAAGATTCTATATTACTGTCTCATCATCAATACCTAGAAATTTGTTTTGGTTTGGTTTTTTTTTGGAGGCAATCAGGGCTAAGTAACTTGCACAGGGTCACACAACTAGTAAGTGTATGAGACTAGATTTGAACTGAGGTCCTCCTGACTCCAGGGCTGGTGCTCTATCCACTGTGCCACCTATCTGTCCCCATACCTAAAGTTTTCAAAGCTGGCTAAGACTTGAGAAGACTATTTCTTGAATTTTATGTTAACAAAAGGGAATGTATTTATATATGTGTATATATAGAGTGGCTTAGACAATATAGAGTTCCTCTGGGCAAAGTATCTGTAAGATGTAAGAAGCAGCTAGCATACCAGATGCTTGCTGCTGTATGCAAAGTGAATCTAAGAATTTCTGCATCTAAGGCACCTAAATACCATAAACCACACTTAGGGCAAGCTCACCTTCAGATGGCAGGGATGATGCAAAGTTATTACTGAGGGAGAATAGGGTGGAGCAGAAGATGAACTTTGCTTTATCTCAAAATCTAATAACCTATTTTGAAAATTATTTTTGCCAGGGGCAACTAGGTGGTGCAGTGAATAGAGCTCTGGCCTTGGAGTCAGGAGGACCTCAGTTCAAATCCAGCCTCAGCCACTTAACATTTACTAGCTGTGTGACCCTAAGCAAGTCACTTCACCCCAAATGCCTCACCAAAAAGCAAAAAAAAAAATTTATTTTTGCCAACTGGATACTAAGCTCTGTTATTTTTTTGCTGAAAAACTATGAGTATTATTGATGCCCTCTAAATTCAGTGCTCCATGAGACAATTCTGGTTGCCTCATTCTAGGTTTTGTCTCTGGCATAGTATCTCCTGTTTTCCTGGGTCTCCATCACTTCCTTGGAATGTAAGGAAGTAACCTTTTCCTTCTGATAACTGCAAGTATCCCACCCTGAGTGCCCCCTAAAGTACATAACTTTGAATTTTTTTTTAATATGACTTATGTATTTTGTGACCAGGCACCGCATATTGCATTAAAAAGCTTCCACGCAATCCCTTCAAGGAAGAAGTTATAGGAAAGGAAGAGCAAAAATATGTTTATCTGAAAGATGGAGATGTGATTAATGCAGAAGGAGCCACTCTCAGGTAAATACTTGACTGTTTGTGAGTTGTTGTTTAAAAATCACATTCTACCCAAGGACAACAAAAACCTTATCAAAGCCAAGTTCTATCCACCTACTTTATACAGATCTACAATTCTATAATCTGTTGTGCAGAAAAGTAAAGTTGAATTAATGGGTACCTGTGCATTTGCCTAGGGCTTCTCTCTCTTCTAGTCCAGTGTTCTTTCAACTATGTGAATCACAAAATGTGGTTTAGTAGGATCTTCCAAGGGATTATGGATGGGTTTCTTATAATTATTTTCTTAACATAATAATGTTGATGCTTTCGTTTCTCATATGAAATAGTCATGTACTGATTCTGAATAAAAAATAGACATTACTTTGATGATAAGGCAGTATATTGGGCTGTTCAGGCTGAGCCTAATACTATACCTGCATCTTGACAGGATTCATGTATTCGGGTCCTGGTCTTCAATTTTGCAGGTTCAGAAACTCAGTTTATTTTAACCATTCTAAGTCACAGCATGACTTAGCTTAGGTTAACCAAACTCAAAATCAGTCAGGCTATATAACCTACACTTTTTATTAATTTTCATTTAAAAATAAAGCTACTAAGTAGACTGGAATATTGGAGTAGGATGGTCAAGGCATTTATTTCCCAGTAGGAAGGTCCTCCTAGGAAAACCAAATCAGTATCAGAAAGTTGCTTCCTAAACATAGAATCAGGGCAGAAACAGACATAAGAATTCAAGAAACATGGCAGTTGAGGACCATCTCATGAAGGAGTAAGAAGTCTTACACAGATCAGTAGCTCCCAAGAGCGTTTATTATACAACTCTATAGGAACTTACTTTCCTAAAGATGACACTGAATAATCAAGGAAAGATTAAATCATGTTTGGTGTACTCTGTTTAATAGTTAGGGGGGTATCTAATAAGTTAGCAAAAAGCTGAAAACAAAACATGCTCAAGAATTGAGAGATGGCTGAAAAAACTTTAGTACATTAAATATTATTGTGGCATAAGGAATGACAATTATAATAAATTCAGAGAAACATGAGAAAAAGTGAACTTGCTGTTCTTTTTTTCTAACTTTTAATAGTATTTTTTCCAATTACATGTAAAGCTAATTTTCAACATTCATTTTTGTAAAATTTTGAGTTCCAAATTTTTCTCCCTCCACTCCCCAAAACAGCAAGCAGTCTGATGTGTTATACATGTACAGTCATGTTAAACATATTTCCACATTAGTCGTGCTGTGAAAGAAGAATCAGAATAAAAGGGAAAAAAAAAAACAAAAAAAAGTGAAAATAGCATGCTTCGAGTTGCATTCAGACTCCATAGTTCTTTCTCTGGATGTGGACAGCATTTTCCATCATGAGTCTTTTGGAATTGTCTTAAATCCTTGTATTGCCGAGAAGAGCTAAGTCTGTCCTAGTTAATCATCACGGAGTGTTGCTGTTGCTGTGCACAGTGATCTCCTGGTTCTGCTCACTTCACTCAGCATCAATTCATATAAGTCTTTCCAAGTTTTTTCTGAAATCTACCTGCTCATCATTTCTCATACTACAACAGTATTCCATTATATTCACATACCACAGGTTGTTGAGCTGTTCCCCAATTGATGGACATCACCTCAATTTCCAATTCTTTACCACTACAAAAAGAGCTGCTATAAATATTTTTGTACATCTGGGTCCTTCTTCCTTTTTTATGGTCTCTTTGGGATACAGACCTAGTAGTGGCATTGATGGATCAGAGGGTATGCACAGTTTGGTTGCCCTTTGGGCGTATGAACTTGCTGTTCTAATATATAGCATTCCATGTGGCAGACAGCCTGTCTAAAGGTTAAGAGAAGGAGATAAAATGCCACGTGGGAGGAACAGTAAAGCCAGTTTGGCTGGAAGGTACAGGGTAAGGGGGAGTAATGTGAAATAAGTTTCATTTAGAGCTTACCTTACTTTAATTACATTTTAGGCTTTTTGGTAATAATACTTTATATTCATTTGACATTTTTTAAAATATGTTTTATTGGTGCTTTTTTTTAAAACACCTCAGGCACTTCCCAGTACTTCCCATAGAAAACTCCCTTATAAAAAGACAACTAAACAAAGCAGATTGTCACATCTACAGCACCTAACAAGGGATGCAAAATTACACAAATGTAACCTGCCACTTCTAAGGGCAGATGTATATTTCAGTAGCTCCTCTGGAACTAAAATTGGTCATTGCATTTAATATAAATTTAAATACAATTTTATTCATATCTTTTGTTTCTACAAAGCCTAAAACTCTCCCTGTCACCTCTGCTACTGCCTCTCGGTAAGCCTGCTCATGTACTAAGTACAGTACACTTACAGTTCAAGTATTACTACAGTGTAAGAAGGAATTTTTTTAAAAAACAAGAAGAGGGAAAAAATCCATAAAAATTATCAATACCTCAAAAAAATCTGAAACTATGTGCAGTGTTCCACACCAGTAGACATTCCACTCCACCCCATTTTACAGAATAGGGGGAGTTGTCTTCTTATATCTCTTCTTTGCAGCCATGCTTGTTCTTTGTAATTTTACAACATTCAATTTCAATTGATTTGTGATTGCTGTTTCATTTACATTGTCATAGTTGTTATATTTATATATTGTTTTCTTGACTCTTTACTTTGCATTATAGTGTATATATTTTCATATAAAGCTTATATCTTTTCATGCTGTTCTTATATTCATCATATTCATTATTTCATACAGCATCCAATAATCCAACAAATCCAATACAATAAACATGTATTAAATGAGTACTATGTGCCAGGTACTGTGCTAAGCACTGGGGTACAATTAATAAAAAGAAAGACAGTCCTTGCCCTCAAGGAGCTTCCAGTCTAAAGGGAGTGGACAGTACACAAAATGAGGCAGGAAGTGGGGGCAGGGACATTACACCAAGGGGTTCCTGGGTGGGAAGGAGGGGGCAGGTGTGAATTTTGTTCTATGGAGTTGAAAACAGGGCAGCAGAGGCAAAGTAGAGTGATACTTCATTGTATTAATTTACCATAATTTGTTTGGGTGGCTAGGTGGCATATTGGGTAGAGTACCCAGCCTGGACTCAAGAAGATTCCTTTTCCTGAGCTCATATCTGGCCTCAGACACTAACTGTGTGACCCTTGGCAAGTCATTTAACCCTCTTTGCCTCAGTTTCCTCATCTGTCAAATGAACTAGAGAAGGAAATGGCACACCACTCCAGTGTCTTTGCCAAGAAAACCCCAAATGTGGTCACAAAGAGTTGGACATGACTGAAATGACTGAACAATAAACCACAATTTATTTAGCTATTTCCCAATTGATGAACATCTTTGTTTCCACTTCTTTACTACCACTTATATAATATTTTAAAGCTTTCAGAGCACTTTCACATACTTTATCATATATGATCTTCACAATAGCTAGTCCAGTCAAGTAAGCGGAGATTTTTTTTTATGCTTTTAAAGATGAAAAAATTGAAGTCCAAAGGTTATGACTTACCCAAAGTCATATATATCTAATATGTACCAGAAGTTGGGACTCAAACCTAGGCCTTCTGACTTCAAATCCAGTAAATATGCTTTCCTCTGATGGTCATGACTGCTCAGGAGATGCCTTAGTCTCTTAAACAATTCATTTACAAATCCTCTCTTAAGGCAGGATAATTGTGCAAAAAAAAAAATCTCCTTTATTTTTATTTCTTTTTAGCTGCAATTTCAAAGGGTAATATTTTTGGCTCACGTCCTTACATTTTAGTGGTATGCTACCTCTAGGCCTGCAGCCTCTTCTTATACAAGGACTTTAGGTCTTTCATCGTGTACCATTGGTATTCCAATGATGGGGTAGGGGTTGCCTTGGCAAGCAGGTAGGGATAGAAGTAACTGCTTCACTAAGTCCTTTGTCTCTAATTAAAGAGACTATATAAAAGAAATCACTGCACTTAGCCTACCTCTGAATAATAATAATGACTAGAAATGATCTTATTTCCACAGTAAGCATTTAAACGATCTCAAAGAGGTCTTAATTCATCCATCTGCCTTAGACAAAACTAATATTTTAACCTGTCCTAGAGAAAGAGACTTTCTAGGTTCCAGCATTGTGGGAAATATCCTCTGCCCTTCATTTACTACTTGAATAGTAGCAATCTTTAAATTATACTACATACTATTAAAATTTAATATGACATGCAGTCATCCCATTTTTAATAATTGTATTATAAAGAGATCCCATCATATTAAGAGAAATTTAATATAGATTACAATGGTAGGTGACTATGTGTCTTGCTAATTTTTTTAACTGTAAATTCCTCCCCACCCCCGTTGATTAAAGGTTTCATAAATGAGAAAGAAAAACTTTTTTTAAGTTCTGACATTGGCTCTCTTACTGGAAAAAATACTGTATTTTAATTCAGGAGACCTGAGTTTAGATCTAAACTTTGATGCTTATTACCTTTTAACCATAAGCAAGTCATCAAAATTCTCAGCTTGAGTTTCCCTGTGTTTAAAATGAAGATAATTCTACTTGGACTACCTACTTTACAGGGTTGTTGTAGAGGAGTACTTTGTAAACCTTGAAGCCTGCCCAAGTGTTAAGAAGTAGTAGTGGTGGTGGTAGTGATGGTGATAGTAGTAGTTACATGGCTGCTGCTTATACTACAGATTCTTGGAACCACAGTTTAGAATTGAGAGGTGGACACCAAAGGTAGGTGAGCAGCCCTGAAAAGGGTATGACAGAGGAGCTAGTCCACCATGAGCACCCCATTCACCTTCTCAGTAGGTGGGCTGAACCAGGTTAAGGTTTACCAACAGGTTTCAAACCCATCCAGTGAGTTAGAGCAATATCTATTCCAAACAGGTAAAGACTCCCCAGCAGAATGGGCAGATGAGAACAGTTTGTTCCAGCAGCCATGAAGGTGGCTAAAGCAGGCGCTGTGAAGCACTTAGAGCTTAGTCAGATATCAAAGACGCCAAGGTCATCCACGGCATCTCAGATGTCCTGACTTTTGTCTTG